GATGAACACAGCAGGCCAAGCAGCATCATAGGAGCAGAGAGGCTGACATTTCGGGCCTAGACCCTTCATCATCTAAGCCCGAAACGTCAGCCTCTCTGCTCCTATGATGCTGCTTGGCCTGCTGTGTTCATCCAGCCCTGCACCTTGTTGTCTCTGATAATGATATTGTTCTTTTCATGACATACAGAAGAGTCTGTTTTAAACATATATGATTTAAACTGATGGGGACTGGTCATGATGTCTTAATTTTAATTTAATATGGAGTCACTTGTTTCTTGCATTATTTAGATGCATTACCCAATCCTCCATTCATTTCTTTTTCAGTTTATCTTTAGAGGCATATAACCAACTGGTTTAATGTATTATTTCATCTTATTATCTATCGATATAACCAGAATACGTACATCTTTTAGTTGAGCTTGGAGTGTTCCCATTCCATGCGATGATCCACTTTGGCACTATAAGTAACAAAAACAATGTCATTCTTAATTGAGGCCCCAAAACAAACTCTCTTCAAAGACTGCTTTTCGGAGGCCTGTCACCAGCAGTGTTCCAAAGGTATCGGTTCTGGATCCGCTTTTGTTTGTCATTTATTTAAATGATTCGAATGAGAATATACAAGGCATGGTTAGTAAGTTTATGGACAACACCAAAATTGGTGGTATAGTGAACAATGAAGAAGGTTTTCTAAAATTACAAAAGGGGTCTTGATCAAATGAGTCAAAGGGCTGAAAATTGGCAGATGGAGTTCAGTCTGGATAAATGCGAGACATTGCATCTTGGTACAACAAACAAGGGCAGGATTTAAACAATTAAAGGTTGGGTATTAGGTAGTGTTGTAGAACAGAGGGGCCTAGGGGGCTCAGGTACATAATTATTTCAAGTTTGCATCACATACAGGCAGGGTGTTTAAAAAGCAATTTAGCATGGTTGCCTTCATTGCTCAGTCCTTTCAGTAAAGGAGTTGGGAAGTCATGTTGAGGTTGAACAGGACATTACTGAGGTGTCTTCTGGAGTACTGAGTCCAGTTCTAGTTGCCCAGTTGGAGGAAGGATATTATTAAGCTGGAGAGAGTTCAGAAGAAATTTACCAGAACGTTGATGGGTATGGAAGGCTTGAGTTATAAGGAAAGGATGGGACCTTTTTCACTGGAGCATAGGAGTTTGAAAGGCAATCTTATTGAGGTTTGTAAAATCATGAGGGGAATAGGTAGGGTTAATGGTCGGTGCCCTTTTCCCTAGGATTGGGGATTTCAAGACTAGAGGGCACATTTTTAAGGAGAGAGGAGATAGATTTTTAAAAAAAGGCATGAGGAACATTTTTTTTTTTAAAAAGAGGGTGGTTTGTAGAATGAATTTCCTGAGGAAGTGGTGTATGTGGGCACAATTACAACTTTTAAAAGACACTTAGATAAGTACATGAATAGGAAAGGTTTGGAGGGTTACGGGTCAGGAGCAGGCAGGTGGGACTAGTTTAGTTTGGGATTATGATTGGCATGGACCGTTTGGCCCAATGTGTCAGTTTCCATGCTGTACGGATCTATGACAACTTGAAACGTTTCAGCATTTAAAATTAACAACAAAAGTTAACTGTGTATTCTTTTGTCTTTAATACATCTACAGATAATTTCAGGTAATTAATCCTGATGAGGGACATTAGAATAAAAGACAGTTGTGACGATACAATTGCTTTAAGAGGCTTATGGGGAGGCGTATAGATACCATGGCTTTAAGAGGTATATTTTGTCCTTTTTTTGAAGAGCAGTTTTAAGATAGAGGTGCTGAGCTGTCTATTTGAATCCAATAAACAGCTTGCAAGGCCTTGAGTTTTTTTCTTGGAAAAGTTGGAACAATAAAAGGAGCCTGACTGGGTGGGATAAGCTCCCACAGAACTAGGATTTTTAGCTTTAGTTTGAGTAATAGTAGCTGCTGGGGGTCTTGAAGTTGGGTTTGGAAGCTGCAGGTACAGCTCTCTCTGCTGCACTCTGAGTTTTCTTTTGATGTTTTCCTCCTGAATTGGAGAATTGCCTCCAAGACAATCTATTTTACTGAATTTGCCTTTGCCAAGGGTGTGTTTATGGAATGTTATTATATCGGAATTGTTCTTGTTCAATAGTTTAAAAAGTCCATTTTTCTGTTAAGTTTTCCAATAGAGTTAAGTTATTCCAATTTCTTCTTTCTTTTGTTGTGTTTTAACTATACTGTATGAATAAATGTGTTTTGCTTCAAGACTGGTGGTTTGGCCTATCGAATTGCATGTGGAACGCAATGCCTGGCACTTGCCTTTAAAACATGAAAAAGTTAGGGTCTAGGCTATCTTCTCCAAATATTTTGAGGGGGTTTAGTCTGTTACATAACAGTCAAAAATCAGCTGCTGTAAATCGCTGCAGCAGTCCATCTTGCAAAATGCATGGTTAATCAGCATTTTCCCTGCACTTTTCAACTGAAAATAATTTTGTCTTACAAGTTGGAAAAATGTCACAGAACAACATTACAATGTTTTTAATCTGATGTTTCAGGTAGAGTAATACATTCCAACAAGGGTGAAAAATAAGGGAATCCTGGCTTTAGTTTCCTTCAATGATGAGGCTGAAATAAATAATGAAGAAACAAAGTACAACATAAGATTCAGATCAAGTGAATTTTTCAATCAAGATTTAGGCCAAAAACGATGGGTTAAGCAGAGAAATCAAGAGGAGAATGAGACTGGCAAAGACAGAATGAGGAAAATGTGGCAGTTAATATGAAAGATAGCTCAAAACATTTTGTAACTACATCTAAATAGTAAGCAGATACAAGAGACAGGATGAAATCTATCCAGGATAAAGAGGGTAAATTTATGCTTATAGCCACAGGGCAAGGCTAGAATAATTAACAAGGACACATGGAACAATCCCTCTTCTGAAGTTACATTGGCCCTATTCCCCACGTCTTCCTCCATTGCATCAATGACTGTATCGGCGCCGCCTCGTGCTCCCACGAGGAGCTTGAACATTTCATCCACTTCACTAACACCTTCCACCCCAACCTTAAGTTCACCTGGACCATCTCCAATACCTGTCTCTTCTTCCTGGACCTCTCTGTTTCCATCTCTGGCAACCACCTAGAAACCGATATCCATTTCAAGCCTACCGACTCCCACAGCTACCTAGAACACACCTCCTCTCACCCACCTTCCTGCAAAAATGCCATCCCCTATTCCCAATTCCTTCGCCTCCGCCACATCTGCTCCCGAGATGAGGCATTCCACTCCCGGACATCCCAGATGTCCTCGTTTTTCAAGGACCGCAACTTCCCCTCCACAGTGGTCGAAAACACCCTTGACCATGTCTCTCGCATTTCCCGCAACTCATCCCTCACACCCCCTCCCCACAACAACAACCAAAACAGAAGACCCCTCATCCTCACGTACCACCCCACCAACCTCCAGATCCAACGCATCATCCTCCGGCACTTCCGCCATTTGCAATCTGACCCCACTACCAAAGACATTTTTCCCTCCCCACCCTTATCTGCCTTCCAGAGGGACCACTCTCTCCATGACAACCTTGTCCGCTCCACACTCCCCACGACCCCCAGCACTTTCTGCTAACACGGTATACTGTATCCGCTGTTCCCAATGTGGCCTCCTCTACATCGGGGAAACCAAGCGGAGGCTCGGGGACCTCTTTGTGGAACACCTACGCTCAGTTCACGACAAATGACTGCACCTCCCAGTCGCGAACCATTTCAACTCCCACTCCCACTCCTTGGACAACATGTCCATTCTGGGCCTCCTCCAGTGCCACAACGATGCCACCCGAAGGTTGCAGGAACAGCACCTCATATTTCACTTGGGAATCCTGCAGCCCAATGGTAGCAATGTGGACTCCACAAGCTTCAAAATCTCCCCTCCCTCAACCAGATCCCAAAACCAGCCCAGCTTGCCCCCGCCTCCCTAACCTGTCTGTCCTTCCCCCCACCTAACCCCTCCTCCCACCTCAAGCCCCACCCCCCACCTCCTACCTACCAGCCTCATCCCGCCTCCTTGACCTGTCCGTCCTCCCTGGACTGACCTATCCCCACCCTAACTCCCCACCTACACTCACCTTTACTGGCTCCATATCCGCCTCTTTGACCTGTCTGTCTCCTCTCCACCTATCTGCTCCTTTATCCATCTTCCACCCGCCTCCCCCTCTCTCTATTTATTTCAGAATCCCCTTCCCCCATTTCTGAAGAAGGGTCCAGAAACTAAACGTCAGATTTCCTGCTCCTCTGATGCTGCTTGGCCTGCTGCGTTCATCCAGCTCTACACCTTGTTATCTTAGAATACTTAACAAGTGCTTTGTATCAGCGTTTAGAATGACAACAAAACATTAGCGGAAGCAGAGGTGGCAAAAATAATGGTGGTGTTAAAAATGCAAGACAGAATGCAATGAAAAGCTACTTATACCAAGAATGCAAACACCACCTGGTCTGGATGGTTTGTATTCCAGATCATTAATAAAAGTTCAGTACAGATAGGCCAGCAGAACGGGAAAGCACATGGCAGATGAAATTTATTAGAGATAAGTGCGAGGTGATCCATTTTGGCACAAGGGGGAGATAATTCAGACTTAATGGCAGAGTTTTAAAAAGGATGCAAGAATAGAGGAATGCAGGACTTCATCGACATAGATTGACAGGTCATTTCAGAGCCCAAAATTCTGTATATATGTACGAGTTGTTAAGTTGTGCAGAAGCTTTACAGAAGTCTGACTGGGCCACAATTAGAGTATTGCAGGCAATTCTTATCACTTCATTTTATGAAGGCTGGGAAGGGTCTCGACAGGGTGTGGAGGAGATTTACTAGAATTGTTCCAGGGATGTGGAAGTTTAACTAAAGTTAGGTGAAGTTGGAGAAACTGGGGAAAAAAAAACACAAATTACTGGGAAAATTCAGTACGTTTGGCCGCATTTGTGGACAGAAAGCAGAGTTAATGTTTCCAGGCCACTGTGTCCACAATGGTCACTAATGTCATTTCACACAGTGATCTCCCCTCCACCGCCTCCAAGCTCATAATCCTCCAATGCCAGGCAGGCTGCTTCTACCTCCTCCTCAAAATTCACAAACAGGGCTGCTCGGGCAGATCCATTGTTTCTGCCTGCTCCTGCCCCACAGAACTCATCTCTTCCTTCCTCGACTCAATTTTTTTCCTCAACTTATCCAGGCCCTTCTCCCCACCACCCAAACTATATAACCCAAAATTTTCTAGCTATAATCCATTCTGAAGAAGGGTCACTGGACCTGAAACATTAACTCTGCTTTCTCTCCACAGATGCTGCCAGAGCAGCTGAGTTTTTCCAGCAATTTCTGATTTCAATCATTGCCATCTCTGTTTTGTTTGGGAGAAACCGGGAATGGTTCCATCACGATAAAGGTGATTTGATACAGATGTACAACATTATAACAGTTTTAAATAAGGTATACAAAGTAAAGTAAAAAAAACAAAGGCAGTTAATGACCTCAAAATAATTAATTTATCTAGGGAAAGTGGGCTGCACTGGCTGGGCAACATATTTCCAAATCAGGATGGTATGTGGCTTGGAAGGAACTTGCAGGTAGTGGTGTTCCCATATACCTGCTGCTTCTGTCCTTCTATATGGTAATGGTTGTGGGTTTGGAAGGTACCAAGGAGCACTATGGAACCTTGGAGAATTTCTTCTGTACATCTTGTCAATAGTACACACTGCTGCTGCTGAGCACCAGTGGTGGACTGAATGTTTGTGGATGTGGTGTTTAGGGAGTCAGGTGATAAACTATTTACTGCAAGACTCCTCACCTCTGACCTGCTCTCATAATTACAGTATTTATATGACTAGTTCAGTTTAGTGGGGGATTCAGTGATAGTGCTACCACCGAATGTCAAGGGGTTATGGTTAGATTCTTTCTTGTTACAAATGTCATTGCAATACTTGCCACTTGTCAGCCCAAGCCTGATATTGTCCAGGTCTTCCTGCATTAAGGATACGCACTCCTTCAGTAACTGAGGCATCATGAGTGGTGCTGAACATTGTGCACTGATGATTGCACATTCTCACTTCTGACGTTATGATGGAGGAAAGGTAACTGATGAGGCAGAGTTAGATTATTGAGCAGGTTAAGTGTTGCTTGATAACGTTGTTTATGAAACCTTCCGTCAATTTACTGAGGATCGAGAGTAGGCTGATGGGTCAGTAATTGGCCGGGTTTGTTTTGCATACAAAACATATCTGAGCAATTATCCGTATTGTCGGGTAGATGCCAGTGTTATAGCTGTACTGGAACATTTTGGCCAAGGGTATGGCAATTTCTGTAGCACAACCCTTCAGTCTTTACGCCAGAATGTTGTCAGAGCCCAGTGGTCTTCACTGTATCCTGTGCTTCTAACCATTTCTTTTGATTCATTCCATGTGATAGCATTTGTTGAAGACTGGCATCTGTGATGCTGAGACCTCTGCAGAAGGCGGAGATGGATCATTCACTAGGCACTTCTGGCTGGAGATAGTTGTGAATGCTTCAAACGATATTTCAAAGTAAGGTAGCATGGCTACAGAGAATTAGCACAAGAATGGAAGTGATTGGACTGCACTACAGAGAAACAGTTTGTACTCAATGGGCTGAACTATTTCCTTTTGTATTGGCCACAATGACTGACTTAAAAAGGCTACATAGCATAGGTACTAATTCAGCAAATGGAGGCATTGTCTAATTAATGTGAAAATTTCTAAGATATTTAGGATATTGTAATCATGGAAACTGTAGCCGATGTTTATGTAATTAGGATTTCAGGAAGATTTTGTTAAGATACAAAACTAATTAAGAAGCAGTCAATTAAGGGATTAGGTAAAGTGTGGTGCTGAATTAAAAACTGGCAACACTATACAGCAATAAGTGACAACCATTGGGCAAGATAAATTAACAAACTAAGAGATTTAGAAGCAGTTTGATTTTTAGGTAAATAAACCAGTATAAAGGGTAGATGTGTAAAATTCATATGAAATAATGAACCCCAAATAAAAGGATTTTTTAAAATACTGGTGCTCTGGTGCAGCAAATATTGTACATCTCTGGGTTGTAATGAATAAAGTTGACAAAATGCCACAAATGGTTAGCTGCAACAAGGTGTTTGACTGCATTTGGGGGATGGATACAAGTCTAGAGGGGGAGGCTGTACTGTTTGTCGCTCTAAGACATGGCCAGACTTGCCCCAAAGCACTGAAAACAGTTTTGATGACGTACTGGACATTACTTCCTCAAAAGTGCAGACCTCAGCATTCCAAATGTGTATCAAGAATTTGATTAATGAAGAAATCTCAAAGATATTGGACTGGATTTCTGTGAACATATTCAATCTATATAGAAAAATACTATATTCAAAAATCCTGGGCATTTTTCCCCATCAGATACCTCCTTTACAAAAGATAGAACACCACCAGATATGCCATTGCTATTGATCAAACTCCAACTGAATATTACTGGCAGACAATGGTCCTTTTAAAATCCAAGTTGGAAGATTAAATGGGTCCATTAGTACAACTGATGTGTATAAGAATTACAATACTTGAATAAACAATTTTACCTGAGGTAAAAGATTTGGAACGCTGCTTTCAAGTTCTTTGCATTTTAAAGTGATTGCAGACAGTTTGTTTTTCAGATTTTCAGTTTCCTCACTCAAGGACTTGAAGAGCTGTTCTTTCTTCTTTATATCATTATTTTTATCTTCAAGCTTTCTACGCAGAGCAGTGACCTCATTACTTCCAGATTTTGCTAACTGATCTTTCATCGTCTGTAGTTGCCTATCTTTCTGTTCAAGTTCTTGGATCTGTTTCTGCTTTGTAGTTTCAAGTGCCAGAATTTTCTGTGGAGAAAACCAAAGTTATTAAAGACAGTGAGATAACAAGGGGTAGAGCTGGATGAACACAGCAGGCCAAACAGCATCAGAGGAGCACGAAAGCTGACGTTTCAGGTCTAGACCCTTCTTAAAAGACATTGTCTTGAAAATTTGCTCTTTAGATTAAACTAGATTGAGGGGAAAATACCTCTATTTTCAATTTAAGATGCCCACAAATGGAGTAGTTTTTGAAAAGTTCAGAATAATACAATGAGAAAGATAAAAGGGAAAATTCCACTGAAAATGGAAGTACAATTGGACACCAATGCAGAAATCAGAGATTTATATACTATAATCTCTCACCAGACCAGAAGAATTCACTTGTACTTCATTCAATAGTATCATAAAGATATTTCATTTCTATCTTAGTTATGGTCTAGAGAACCAGTTGAAGTTGATCAGGAGCCAGGCTTTGCTCAATTTTATAAGCATTTACTTAGAGTTACACTTTTCATACACGCAACCTAACTCAAAGTTTCAGTCTGTCTGCTTCACGGGGCAAAACTAAATCCTGAATTAATAACCACACTTCAATATATTTAAATACAATGAATATATAATTAACAGATATAACAGGCAAATTCAAAGTTTTACCAGAAACACAACACTTCTGACACTTAAGCGCTCTCTCAGGATGCATTTGTGTGTCAACCTGTACTACGCAGTCAGTCTCTGGCCGGGGTCCTGAACGCATAACCTTTTAACTTGAAAAAAATGAGCCAAGGTGACATCGTAAATAGCTGAGGTTCAATTTCCTCTATGGCTGATTTTGCCAATTTCAAGTGGAGCTGCATTGGAATATTAATTTTGGCCTCAGAACAATTGCTTGGAACCAAATTCTAACAGCTCTGCTTGGAGTGCTCATGTAAGATCTGGACTGGCTGCAGTGCACGCATAGTTGATTGTCAAACATGTTCTCAGTTTTTCTTCAAAAATATAAGTCACTTGGAAAAATCTTCAGTGATCATGGAACTACATCTCAGCAAACATTTTAAGAAAGGGGCATGGAAAATAACGTGTTTAATCAACTTGATTGTTATTCTGTTTACAAAAAACATCAGTGGTCAATGAAGGTAATGCAGTTGATGTGTTCTACGTGGATTTTTCATAAAGTGTAACAACATCTGCCAGCAAGATGGACACTCACAAAATAAAAGGCACACAGGAACAAAGATACAAGGTTAGCTGAAGATCAGTAAACGGTGCAGTGTTGAACGATTGTTTTGCAAACTAGAAAGCATATAGAGGTTTTTCCAAGAGGACTAGAGTACCTGATTTTCTTCTACATATGAAAGATGCTGACTTGGGTGTAGATGCTACAACTTCAAAAGTTGCAATTGACAAAACCTGGAACTATTGTGATTTGTAATAAACTTCAAGAGGTATCGTCAAGCTCATGGAATTGGTGGATAATACAGCAAATACAGAGTGAGAAAATAGATTTAAGATAATTGGCAAAAGGACCAAAGACAACAGAATTAAAATGTTTTCCAGTTACGATCTGGAGCATACTGCTCGAAAGCATGTGAGGCAGACTGAATCAAGACTTTCAAAAGTAAATTGGATAGACACCTGAAGCAAAAAATTGTTTTCAACCCCAAAGGAAAAAGACTTCGGAGGGAGACTAAGTTAGTTGCTCTTGCAGAAAGATGGCAGACAAGCTGAACAGCAGGGTGCAGAGCTGGATGAACACAGCAGGCCAAGC